GGAAGAGCGTTCCAGACGGCCGCAGAAGCACATCCGAAAGCGCGTGATGCAGAGATCTTTGTTCGATAGCCAGCCAAAAGACGCTGCGAGGATGACCGGTGTTCGTGTGATGGTTTATGTTCCTTGACGAGATCAGCAAGGCATTGTGGTTCATTTGTGGCAAGCACCTTGTGTGTAATGAGTGCGACCGGAAGCCAATACAGTTCAACGAGCACTGCACGGACACGTTGAGATCTTGCAGTACCCGTTACGACCACGTGCCAACTAATTTTGTACGCGCTGCAACTTACACTTGAAACGAAGAATACATGTTGCACTGCACTCACAGTTCCCTGCCCAATCAACTTGGGGTCGAATGCTCCATACAATCATTGATTGATATTGGTTATTCAGCTTGCAATACCGTGTACGCATTGAATCGCGTGCACAAGAACTGATGGTTTTAGATCTGTGCGCGTGCTGTATGGAATTCGTTTGTGTGACTCACGTGCCCGCAATGTTACAACAACATTTGATTACTGAATTCATTCATGACCCTGATTAACATTTTTCACGGAGGGATTGCGTTTATTTACCCAATATTCCCCACCAAAGTAGAGCACAGCGCTCGTTATGTATCTCCCGAATACAATTAGTAGGGTCATTCGAATAGTCATTCTAATACGGTATTCTGTCACCACGCCAATGTTTCTACATTTTCAAATAAACAATGCTACACCGCTCATCTCTGCCCTGAACTACTGATGGAAACTTACGCATTCTTGTGACAGGGGACCAATCCTTTAGAAATACAACCACCGCTGGATCATCACGTAGTGGAACTCATTTCCGCCTGGCCAGAGTCGATGTCGCGAGTCGATATATCTGACTGGGAGTTGAGCTCACGGCCTTCCGATTGCGAGTTGCGTAAACCGATCGCATCTCCACAGGACAGGTCAATGCGCGACCGGCCTCTCGCTGATGAATGATTATTTAACCACAACTTCCTTTATCCAACAGCAGCCGCCGCCGCTGCTGCTGCTCCTCGGGCGATAACAACACAACCACGTGTGCGCTCAGGCGTGCGGGTTGCACGAGGCGAGAGACCATCAGCCAGTCGTGCGCAATGCCTCAGTGGCCGTGCTATCGAGCGTGCAGGTTCGTTAATTTCTTCATCTCCATATATGAAAAGTTGGTGTCGCTGCAAACAATGGCACTGCCGTTCTCCGCTCGCATTCGAAGATTTTTCTCCTGCACGGTAGCCATGCCGCAGAACTGCGCGCGGCGCTCGTGGGTGACATTTGCCGCTCGCGGCGAGAAGGGGGTCCTGTCTGAGTGCGACTCCCAACTCGGGCGCGCCCTTTCTGTGTCGAGTGCCAATGCTCAACCCCCCCCCCCCCCCGGTTCCACGTGGGGGGTTTTCATCCCCGGGCTCCTCAGTTCCCTCTCGTCACCAAAAACGGGCAAAGTCATCCGGTGACGAAGTCTCGGACGCGCCGTCGTTCCTACGAAACAAGAGCGGTGCACTGGAAACGTTGATGGAGCGAGTTAATTGACGCAGTAATGTGCGTTCTTATCCTTTATAATGAATCGCAAAAAAAAAATAGTCTAAAGATATCTCCGCTGTTGTTTTCATTCGTTGGAATTCCACGCTATTTTTACACTCGGGAGAGGAAAGGGCACGTTCAATGCAATGACTCTGCAATAATAACTCACGTTTTTCATGGAATACCGGCGATTTATTCCCGGCAGAGCGAGGCGGAGGAAATGAAATAATCACAACGTAAACAAAGCTGATCGGACATCATCACCAGGAATAGAATTCCCCCGCGGGATATTTTTGTTCGTTCTCCCGCAGGGCATCTGTAAAGAATAAGGAGCGCGAGAGTCTGCGGCGCGTGAAACACTTTTAACCGTGAACGACGGCGAGCGCGTGGCTCTGACGATGCACGGAAATCGTTGCAATTTACGCGATGTCGCGTGGGATTGTCGGTGAATACGTAAATAATAAACACTCCCGGTGGCTATGAGATGTTGACTTGCCTCGCGTGGTATGCAGGAGGTCGTGGGTTTGAGCCCAGCCCTGACGCCTGTATTGTTGGTGTTTGCGTGTTTTCTCTCCCCGTGGTCACGTGGATTTTTCCACGGCTACTCCGATTTTTCCTTACACGTGTAGATTGGACGTGCGTTTCGAGTGTTCGGCTGCTTTAAGAGGCCGTCCATAAATGACGTCACGCGAATTTGGACGATTTTTGACCCACCCCCCCTCCTCCTCGTCACACGGTGTCACAAAAAGTCAGACCCCTACTCAAATATGACGTCACAAAGCTCTGCCCCCCCCCCCCCAAAAAAAATCTTCAAATCGCTTTAAACTATTGTCATTGTAGTGCGTATTTAATGTGGCGCTGCACTCTGATGTTGTAGGAGAAAACATGTATTAAAAAAGTATATTTAATTAAGTAGAACGTGTTGTCTACATTTATTTAAAGTTGCGCATTTTGATGTGAAGTCACATTTCTCACCTCCCCCCCCCTCGTCACACATCGTCACAAATGTCTGACCCCCCGCCCCTAGGTGCGTGAGGTCATTTATGGACGGCCCCTAAATTTCCACGTGACAAGCCACTTCGTTGAGCTACCATTTGCGGCCAGGTCGCTTCCGAAAAAAAAAAGCTCTGATGCTCAGTGGGCCTTACTGGTAAAATAGAAATGAAACAAACTGGGAGGGGAGGGTGGGTCGGATAGACATCGCTGTAGCCGTCTTCTAGTTTTCATCACTCGTGCTTTCCAGCAGCATTTGTGCCAGCAGGCGAACTCTGCATCAGTTCCATCCTGCCGTCTCGCCAGAAGTCGTGCTTTCGGGAATAATTGCAGCCTTTTTCCCCTACTCACGATGCAAATAACAACTCCACAGCCCCTTTCCAATCCACCGCTGGATGAAGGCCTCCCCACGCTGTGTCAGTCACGGTGGTCGTCTGACCTCACTTTCACCATAGCAGTCAGCGCGAATTGCATGAAGGGAGAGTCCAGGACCGGTTCAGACATCGCTCGCCACCGATGGGCTCTAAGAAATCACAACTGTAATCTAAGCGCAGTGCACAAACCACTGTGACACTTGCTCCACCCTTTTGCAACCTTACAATGGAGTGAAATGAGATAATGCTTTCCTTTGGCAGGAAGTTTCCACTGAGTCTGATTAATGTGTTGCTTGCTTATCCGGTATCTGGTTAGGACATTTGGACAATTGCTCTTTGTCTTTTATTCCCTTTTTGTCAATCCAAGGCAAGAAACGCGGAGGAAATCACTGCAAACATGCAAAACGTAATAACAACAAGCATGTATTTGACATTATCTTTTTATTATTTAATTGTTTCCCTTCTACGTGACTTTACCGAAAGAACCAAGAATATAAATCCCTGCAGTCACGAAAGCTTTAAATCAAAATTATACAAATGGTTAAATGTTTAATTCTAGCAGTCTAGCAATGCCTAATGTGTTGCATTAATATCAGTCTTACAACAACATCCATGTCAATTTATATAGCGTTTACATTTAACTGCATTTTAACAATTGTGGACGAATTCAAAACATACGCACTTCACTCAACTGCTACAAAAGCATTGTCTTTTTTGGAACCAAGCGTTGCGGTAACTTAACGCTATTTACAAACCCCTGCGTTAATTTCCACAACGTTACAACTGCTCACAAATAATCTGCCACTGCTTCGAGATCGTTCAGCAACAACAAAAAATATCGCTACTAAGTGGCCCTTAAACCAAGAATCATCAACCCACGTTTTATGATTCTTTACTTGAATGCGTTACGTGAACACGAAATTTTAAAAAAAGTACAAATTTCTCTCGAAATTAACACAGATCATGATGCACTGATGCATCGCGTCACCAATATATCACCAACGAGCCGGTGAATAACCAGCTAAACCTAGCCAAGTTGCGTGGCTAAAGACCACTGAAACCACCGATCCCTCCCTGCCAGAGGTACCTTGGGACAAAATGAGCTTCTTTAAGTGTCTGCAGTCCATCCAGGAAAGCCAGGAGACGTCTTTACAATCGCGCAAAATTCTAAATGGTACTCCGAAGGATACTGCGCGTGGCGAAATCAGAGAAAGGAAATTGTGCGTGGCATGTAAAATGTCACAATGTGTCTTTTGTCAGAGGGCCCACACGCACGCGCACACAAAGGGAATGAAAGTGGATACGAAAGTAAGAATTGTGTTCTGTCAACAGCGTTGCCCCAGCGCTCCCGCATCACGACGCAGGGCGGTGTTTGTCGGTGGAGGAAGCGCTGTTGAGGATTTGCTTTGCGCGGTTTGCTACTATCGCTGTTCGTTTCAGGGTTTGATCCCTGCCCCCGATGAGCAACACGTGTAGCGTAAACAATAGAAAACTTAACTTGGTCTCGGACTCTCTTAGATCAACTAGGCATGAAATGCATGCTCCTGTGCAGTGTGTCAACGTCAGCAAAGAGGAGGCGGTGTGGCCTCGTGTGGTGCCAGCCAGCACAGTCACCTCTGGATGCCAAACCTGGCTCTAGCGGGTGCCCATTCACTGCGCTTGCCCCCTACGTCCTGTACTGCTGTAGCTAGTAAATGTATCCTTCAACGGTGCAACGTAACCATCGTAAAGATATTCCCTAACGGCGGAAAGCATTGCCAACCTGCCTTGGCTCTTAGTGGAAATCCACCAACCCACTCGCTTCAGCCATCATCGGCAGCAGGCTTTGGGGAGACAGATTCCTAACGCTGGGTTAGCAGTGGCGTAGCGTGGATGCCATGGGCCCCGTGGCAAGTAATAAAAACGGAGGAGCCCTCCTGTCCAATCCCTCGTTCCCCCTCCCCGACTCACCGCAATACGGCCACGCGGGCTCCTCCGGGCTCGCGGTGCAGCTGCGCCGGCCGCACGCTCGGCAGCTTACGCAGCTGCCGGCCACCGCCAAAGGACGTGGTGTCTACGCTACGCAGGTCACAGTGGTCCGGCCGCAGCCCCCCCCATCCCCCCCCACCTCCCCCCCCACCGGCCAGAACTGTGGACCGTCGCCCGGGGGGGCCCCCTAGTACTGGCAGATGAAGGGCAGCATGACGCGACAGTCGAGGTCGTTCCAGCGGTGCTTGTATTTCGAGGTGGTGATGTGCACGCAGTCCTCGTTGGGGGTCTCGCCCGCGGGCTCGCCGGCGTAGAAGTTGCGCCAGGCGCCCCGCAGCGGAGAGCCATCGACCCACGCGAAGGTGCCCTCCGCCGCCTTGTCGCTGAGCCCGATCCAGTAGGACGTGTCCTGCGTTTGCTTGATGTACCTGCAGCAGCGAAAGCCATCGTTGTAATCTTGTAATAATCTAAACTAGAAACTCTGCACTCGACAGGAGCGACCTGGCTATCACTAATGATAGCTCGACGAATTGGATTGTCGCGTGGAAATTTACGGCAGCCAAACACTCTAAACGCGCGTTGATTTTAAAAGTGGGAGGGAAAACCAGAGAACGCGTGGAAAAATCCACGCCACCACGGGGAGAGAGACACGCAAACTCCAAATATACAGGCGTCAGAGTCTGTATCGAACCCACGACCCCCTGTATACCAGGCGAGGTAGTTAACATATCGCTACCCTGACGAACATCATCATTGTCAAAGCGGTCGGGCGTGGTGCGGATCACAGTGATTGTCATCATCAGCAGCAGCATCGTCGTCGTCATCGTAATCATCAACAGTCATCGTTATCGCGGGCGGCGATAGAATCAGCAATCACATCGCGCTCCTTGTTGGTTACCTGGGCTGCGTTTATTGAGAAAGTGCACCCTCTGAAGCCTTTAAAATTGGCTTCCATTTACTTTCAATTCGTAGCCTTAACGACTGTTCGTAGGCGAGTGGTACACGATACGTGTGAGTGGTGAGTATCTGGTGAGGAGTGTCTGGTGAGTGTTTCAGGTTTAGCAGTGAGCGTCATCCCGAGGTTCGTAGCGAGTCGAGAAAATCTCAACATGAATTCCAGCTTGACTGCCAGCGCCCAACGTGAAACAAATTCTTAGTTTAGATTCTTATTGTTTTATATATATTTTATTATTTTGTTGTTTCTCTTCAACGTGACTTTACCGAAAAAACTAAGAATATGAATTACTGCAGTCACGAAAGCTTTAAATCAAAAGTGAAACAAATTGTTTAGTGTCACTGCGTTGACAGTGGGCAAACAAAAACTCCACACTGATGTAACTTTTTGACCCCGTGCTCCTACTGGACCTTCAAAGTTCGTCGGATTTTACAGTCGAAATGAACCCGTTCCCGTTCCGATGACGTATGTGCATGTTTTCAGTTTTTCTTCCGATGTCGTTCCGATTACATCATCGGAACGTAGCCGGTAGAAAAACTAAAATGAAATGACTTTATCGGTAGCGCGGCTCCCACAAGGTCATGCGGGACGCTGCGTGGCACAGTTTGGAGCCAGCTGTCGTAGAGTGCAGTCGTGCCGCTACCGTCCTCTGTGGTGAGTAACGATGTCTTTCAAAACCAACGGTGCTGCGCCTCCCTAAATAAATAAAAAAATTGAACGCCGAACCGCTTGCACGTTCCGAGATTCAGCGGTGAACGGGACACCCACACCCGGGCAGCTTGCAGTCGTCTCGGAATCGGGAAAGGGGTCGAGATTCCGATTCTGCAATCGGTGACGTTCCGAGTCGCCGCCCTGTTTCGACGCGGGAGCTCGCGCCCCTCCTCACCCGCTCAGGAAGCGCTGCGTCGCGGCGTCCTTCACCATCGCCAGGGCGCCGCGGCGGTTGGCGCAGAACTGCGCCGCATCCGCGAAGCTCCTCCGCTGCTTGAGGAGCTCGAAGCAGTACATGCCGAACTTGCGCCCCCACTGACAGCGCAGGGGCAGCGCTGGCGGCCGCCACCGGTCATGAAAAGCAAAAAAGAAAACCAGAAGAGCACCGCAGATGTTTCGAGAAAAATCTTCAGCACGTTAACCTCCTGGTGTGCACGAACTGCGCATTCCAGAAAATAAAAAATAAAAAACAATAATATCATTGTTATTTGTTTTTATTATCATACCGCTTGTTTACCCAAGGAAGCCTCACTGAATCTCATGACTTTTTCAGGAGGGTCCTGCCAAGTTTTTGCTAGGGGGGGGGGGGGGGTGTGATGAATGCTACGTGCGATCCCAATGGAGTAATTTTGCAAGGGAATTTTTCAAACGCGGCAAATCTGGACCATGACGGCCTGGACTTGTGCGTAACACACCGGACCTTCAAAGTTAACACAACCCGCAGCATTATCCAGGGCAGCCGCTGATTTCGAACCGTGAATTTCTGCAACAAAGCGGCCAACCGCATCGAGGTCCCTTTGTCAACCCAAAGGGAATACTCACTCTTTACCCCACCACAAGGGGGACCCGCCCACCTACGGACTACCCATTCACACCGCTGAGTGGACAGAAACGGCACGTTGGAACTTCTTTCGCACCGTGAGCAGCCAACCGTGCTAATCGGAGATGCGGCGGGCGTTGACGGGGACAACAAACCGAACACAAAAATCAATTCTAAAGCGCCGTCGTTTAAAAAAAACTGCCGCGTCGCGCAGATCGAACCGGCGTCGATCCCCCTGGGCCGCGAGGAGGCCCGGCGCGCCCGCTGATGCGCCTGCCCAGGGTAGCGGCCCAAGTCGCACCTTCGAGCCTGTGCGCAATGGCGGACAGCTGCTGGGCCCCCTCGTCCGGAGTCGAGACGTTCCCTTTGGTTTCTGCGCCCGTCATTGTCTTGAGCCTCAGCTCCAGAGCTTGCATGTGCTTCCTGCAGAACGTGACAGCGTTTACTTTTGCAACAGCCTTCTTCAACGTGGGGAGGGAAAGGGGGGGGGGTGGAGGTTGGGAGGGATGGGGGGCACCGCAGCAGATGCAAAACACAGATGTGACACGGCAATTAAATAGCCATTCCATTACGCAGCACATAACAGAGAGTCTGTGCTCGGCCAAGGTGAGCCGTTTGTTTTGTGCACACGAGGAGAGACAGCCCAAAACGTCAACAACGCTTGAGTACATTTGGGGCGGCGCTTGCCTCTCTTGGTGGCCCAGAGCCAGCAGTGGAAACTCCACGGTCCCCTTGGCAAAGGGCCCACGTTTGGCCGACGGCCGACCATTGTTAACTTATGTATGCATGCATGTTAAAACTCTCTCGCACCGTACGTAGCCAGCCTTGCTGATCGGAGGTGCGGGAATGGGGGGGGCGGGGACGACAAACTGAACACAAAAAGCAGTTTAAAAAAATGAGTGATATTCATTATGTCAGCGCCTAAGGAATAGTGCGCTCAATCTATAGGCCTTTGTCAATGCACTGCTGGAAGAGAGCCTGCGCATGCCGTGCGGGTCCGTGGGGGTTGTTAGCCAGCGTGGTTTTGTGACGGTGGGGCGCACGGTAGGACCCCACGCAACCTCACTCGAAAACTGCTTAGGACACCAAGGACTCCAACTGTTACAGCCTCGTGTTACGATACACTACACTATACACGACACTACTATACACTCCACTACTATACACAACCACTATACACTACACTATACACTACTGTACACTATACACTATACGCTTCTATATACTACACTATACGCGACACTACTATACACTACACTATACACTACACTAACTATACACTACACTATGCTGTTACAGCCTCACGTCGGTTTCTCTGCTGTCGCCCCTTCGGTGTGGAATTCTTTGTCCCTTGCACATCCACAACAGCAAATGCACTCGTGACTTTCAAGAAACATCGAAGGGCCTCTCTCTATCTGTGTTGGGTCTCAGGACTCTCGAGCAGCCCTGCGCTTGACTCCACCCCTCTGAGTTGTTAACTTGTCTGCAGAAATCTGGCGGCTTATAAATATCATCGTGATCATTGTTAATATCCAGCAAGGCCTCAGAGGCACTCATTTGAGGCTGAGTCGACCAAGGGGAGGCCCAGGACCGCTTCCGATAATCGCCACTGGTGGGTTCGAGCGTACGGTCACAAGCAGCCCCTTCTTTCCCGTCGGCAGAGCACCGACGGCTCGCTCACTCCTCATGACGAGCACACACACACAGAGAGCAGACGACGTTCAGCTCCTGGGCCACGCAACACAGCCGGAGCCGGCGAGCCAGTCCATCAACGGACTCGACGGGGCCACGTCACCTGGTCGGTCCACAATAAAGGTTTATCAATCTAAATGTGTCGTTTAACCCGCCACCACCCGACACAGCCAATTGGCTCTTGGCCAATTGGCTGTGTCGGGTGGCTGTTGGCCAATTGGCTGTGTCGGGTGGTGGTGGGTTTAAATACAGATTAATATATTTAGGCGATTTAACCCAAAACAAAATCCGTACTACGGCCAATGATTAAGGTTTGTCACGTAAACAAAACGTGCCAACAATCAGTGACGACTTCAGCGCACCGCCTGTGTGCTGCAGAGTAAACCCGCAAACATTTACAAATTTGATTAACCGTGACGGTTACGCTGGCGATCACCGCCACCTTCGCCAGGCGATCAACCAGCATTGTGAACAAGTTCCTCCTTTTCTATTGTGGGTTTTTTTCTTTTATTATTTTCAATGTATGATTTATTTTATTTTTATTTTTTAGTTTAATATTATTTTTATTTTTTCCTCCTCGTTTCGGCCTCAAAATTGAGGGACGGCGACGACTCAACCGCGAGCCTCACCTCGTGTCAGCGATGGTCGCCAGCTGCTTTTCGGAGGCCTCGCGCAGCCGCAGCAGCGCTGCCGTGTTCCTGCGCTGCTCCTGGCCCATTCGCAAGTTCTCCTGGGCCAGAGAAGCCACGAGCACCCGCAGGTTCCCCAGCTCCGTCCGCCCGGCCTCCGGACCTGGTTGATTCGCACGGGAGGACGGTGACCGCGCCACATTTCCCACGTGTCCGACAGCCGCGTGAGTCGAGGGTTGGCGGGGGTGGTGGAGGGTGGGGTTGCTTTCCAGAGAGGTGACTAAGGAAGGGACTAGGTGTGTGTGTTGAACTCCTTTCGCACCGCACGTAGCCAGCGGTGCTCATCGGAGGTGCGGAGAGTTTGACGGGAGCCCCCGAGGAAGGGTTGCAAGCCGTGCCCGAAAATTGGCACCTCCGTCTGGGTGGCAGGAATTGACCTGTGCCGGGATCTGGTGGTACTGCGTTGAACTTTCATTACGGTAGAGCGCAGCGCAGTCTGTCAAGGTTCATAAACCATCATCACGCAAACTCCGGTCATCCGTGCAGCAAGGCCTTTTGGCTAACCATCGAACAAAGACGGCCACTGCATCGCGCGCTCTCAGATGCGCTTCTGGAACGTTCTCTCCTTCCGATATTAGGAAGCCACTGGAGCTATGCACTTGAAATCGAAATTGAAAACTAATTTCTTTAAAACTGCTTTTTGTGTTTTAGTTTGTTGTCCTTCCCTCGCACCTCCGATTGGCACGGTTGGCTACGTACGGTACGAAAGAAGTTCAACATACATACAGACATACGAATCACCATGACAAAGAAATATGTCCGGTTTGGTCTGTGGATTAGGTGGCAACCCTGGGCCTGGGGCTGTTATAGTTTTGAGGCCCCTTTCTGGTTATTGAGTAACCTCCCTTGACTTTTTACCACCACCAATGGCCTGATGCCACAAACTCCATTGGCGTTCACCTTGGTTATTTCAGATCTAGTTTTTATACGATTTATAGAGCGAAATCAAAGTTAAAACCAACCAAATTATTAAATTTTATCTGCACAGAACTGTATGAATACACGTAGGGATGCCATGACTTTAAATGGTCAAATCACCCAAAGGATTTATCATAGTGTTACAGTATTCCACTTCAAGCGTTACATATGAAAACCCGTGTGTTGATCTAACCCTGGTCCCAGGCAGGGCTTAATTCGAGCTGGCTCTGCCCGGTCTGCCATCCAAACACTATCCAGGCTCAGCCTTGCTTCGCTTCCAAGATATGATGAGACCGGCTGCGTTCTAAGTTAATTAGTCGCAGGCTATATCCATCGCGAAGTAGGTGAATCATTATTTTAGAAGCGGCATACATAATGTCCATGGAAGCTCTAACTGCAGGAGCGTAACACAAACACGCTGCGTTTTTGTTTTGTTAGATCGCGTAAACATCAATGTGTCGTTAATCCCGCCACCACCCGACACAGCCAATTCGTAAGGTTTGTCACGTAAATAAAACGTGCCAATTAGTTACTAGTTCAGCACACCGGTGTGTTGGAGAGTAAAACCACATAGTAAATGGTGTGGGTTTACTCTCCAACACACCAGTGTGCTGTACGAGTAACGAATTGTCACGTTTTGTTTACGTGACAAACCTCATTAATTGGCTGTGATGGGTGGTGGCGGGTTTAACGACACATTGATATTTACGCGATCTAACCCAAAAACCCCACCGCTATTATGGATATTGGTCGAGAGAGCCTACCACGTGTTAAACTGAGCATTGCCGTTATCTCGCTCTCCTCGTGTGCATGAAGGCCGATTAAACACTTTCATCCAGATGCCAGCCCCCTCCCACCCACCCCACCGCCAAAAGGAATAACGCCAAACCCCGTCTCCTGCGAGAATTCCCAAAACAAAACCCCGTCAATTCTGTCGATGATCTGCATTATCAATGAACGAATCGTTAACGTTGTCTGCGCGGGCAGAGGCACCGCTTCCGATTGAATGTTCACGCAGACCCAGCTCCCTCCCTCCCTTGCCCACCTGCTCCCGCAAGCTCCATCGCCCTCCTCCAGCGCCGTAGAGACCCGACACGCGGCTCCCTCGCCTCCCCGCCGCTGCGATCCGCGCCTTCACGCAAGGTGCCGCTTCTGCTGCCGATGTCGCTGCTGCTGCTGCTGGTGGTGCCGATGGTGGTGGCGATCGAGGTGACCGCGTGGCTCACCCTGGAGAGGTGGCTCACAAGAGGCTCGTCGTGGCTCAGGCGTTGCTGCTGTTCGAGGGTCGTCGCCGCGCCGTCAGCCGCTCTCCAGCCCGGCTGGGAAGCGCAGCTGCAGAGGCTCGTGATGAAGAAGACCACGGGGCTGTACCGGGACACCATCGCTTTCTTGTCTCCTTGCTGAGTCTCCCTTAGAGCGACTGTAATGTCGGCGTGTTTATTTACTCTCACGGTGTGCGCTCGCGTGTTCGTGTCCTGGCTTTCGAACTGCACGGCACTTGCCTCCAGCAAACCCGAGAAAGCCGACGCTGGGATTATGCCTCTGTCTGGACGAGCGAGCGAGTGATCGAGTGGCGTCCCCTTCCAACCCACCTCCACGTGTGACGCCGAGGTTATTGCTTCTGCTTTTTTGATTCGGTGCGGGGGGGGGGGTGTCTTAAACGATCCTTGATGTTGTTCCTTAAATACGTCCACTTGCCAATGTGTGCCTTGAGTGTGCGGGCGGGGGGGGGGGGGGGGGGGATCACGGGCACGGGTCGCCGGGAGGAAAATCCTGGCACGGAGGTGCGAATTAAATCGGCGTTCAGCCCTCGGCAGGCAACACTTTTCACGAGCCCGGCACACGCGCGCGTACGATAAGCACACGCGACAGCTCCCTTGCCCCCGTGGCGTGGTATATAGAGATTCTATTGGATGTTCCATGCGCATGTTGGCAGCACTGTGGTACAGGAGAGCCAGATCAGGGGTCGGCAAAACCTGCGGCTCGGAGCAAGCGTGGCAGGCTCTTTGCTGACTGCTTCGTGGCGTCGTGTGTAAGTGTGTGTGTGTCGTCTCATTGTGGGGAGCGGTAGTGTAGCGGTTAACGCGCTGCTCTATGAACCTGGCGGCGCGGGTTCGATTCCCGCTGACGGCCAACACCAGTGACGATTATCTGAACCGGTCCTGGTCCTCCCTTAGGTCGACTCAGCCCGAAAGGAGAACCTGATGCGGTGTGTAAACATCGTCACTGGGGAGACAAAGGTTGTCGGGCGTGGTACTGGCCACCCACCCCCTCGTGTACCGTTCCGGCCTTCATAGTTGCTCGCTAACAGCACTTGCACCTACAGTCTGTTAAGGCTATAGTGAGATCTTTGTCTTTGTGTCGTCATGTTGCATTTCGGCTCTTGAAATGTGGAGTTTTGTACCCCATTCTAAAATAAAACAAAAACGCCCCTTATTATTATTTTGGTTGCCGACCTTTGAGCTAGACGCTCATGTCGAGGGATCAAGTAGTGCATTAACCACACGTACTTGTGGTTGATGTCTCTGGTGTATGCAAACAAACGTGATCCGATCAAATATGATGTACTGTCTATGAAACTGATTTGCATACACAAGAGACATCAACCATTGTCATGCCAGAGGCGAGCAGTAGTCCAAAGACACTGCACGTATCAGAGCAGTTATAGCTCGGGGTGAGCAGCTACATCACGAGAGCGTTCGTGTGTCGTTCCTCCTCCTTCGTTGAAAGAGCGCAGACTCACAGTGGTTTAACAAATGAATCGATTGGCGGTGACCCGGGTCACCATCGTGACCCGGGATGGTGACCCGGGGGTGCCAAAACCTCCATAACTCCGAAACCAGAAGGCCTATGAAGACGGGAGATGTCACTGAGCCCGATACGCACGTCAAATATGGAAATAAAAAACACACGCAAAACACCCATAAAAAAGGGGGCTGCTGGGGATTTGTGCGTGGCAACGGCTGTTTATCGCTTGTTTTGAAAGTACATCGGGATGCTGGTCTGGTCATTCCCCAGCACGTTGTGCTTCTTACGGGGGCGGCCACCCCCTTTGTCTTTGGGAGCGAGACCACTTGGAGGCAATGGCACACCAGGTGCTCTCTTGGTACGGCCGGCGGTCATGGTCGTGCTGGCGGGATCGACATTGTCGTGATCATCGCTCCCAGCGTCGCCCTCCGGCAGGACAGGGTGGTAGTACCAGCGATGCTCCCAGAAAAAAAAAACCTTAAACTATGCCCGGCCCACCAATATTTTGCGACGACACGGGCTACCGCCAATCGATTCATATGGGTCCATATGTGAGTCTGTGGTTTAACATATGGGTCCATATGTGAGTCTGTGGTTTAACATATGGGTCCATATGTGAGTCTGTGGTTTAACATATGGGTCCATATGTGAGTCTGTGGTTTAACATATGGGTCCATATGTGAGTCTGTGGTTTAACATATGGGTCCATATGTGAGTCTGTGGTTTAACATATGGGTCCATATGTGAGTCTGTGGTTTAACATATGGGTCCATATGTGATTCTGTGGTTTAACATATGGGTCCATATGTGAGTCTGTGTTTTAACATATGGGTCCATATGTGAGTCTGTGGTATAACATATGGGTCCATATGTGAGTCTGTGGTTTAACATATGGGTCTATATGTGAGTCTGTGGTTTAACATATGGGTCCATATGTGAGTCTGCGGTTTAACATATGGGTCGAAAGAATATGGGTCCATAACTTGGGTTGCGTGGCCACGATCGCACAACTGTGCCTTGTCTTTGGGTTTCCATCGACGGAGGAGAAGTGAGCAACGGCCTATCGATGCCCTTGATGATGTCCAGGTTTACACGAGCGTTTGCGTCAACGTTAAAAGTTCCTCTCAACCAAACGGCGTGGGCACCCTGGAATTGTCACAAATCCTCCGTCCTTTATTCGGACGCCACCGGAGGCCACGCACTTTTATATCTCGATTGCAAACCCATTACTTTGGTTGCGAAAGAAGTGCATAGCTTCAGCGGTTTCCTCACATCGGAAGGAAGAGCGTTCCAGACCCACGTTACGTTCGTTAACATTATTCTATCCAGAGTTATAACTTTATAATTGCACGCGTTTGCTTGTGTAGCGTCGGAAATACATAGCACACACTATGTACACTTACCTGTAGTTGCGGGCACGGGTCTGTAGGGGGTGCCACCCTGAGCTAGAGAGATAGAGACGGACCGTCGAGAGGCCGAGTTCCCCCCCCGTGTGAGGGGTTGGGGGGTTATTCCAGAGCCCCCTGGAAGGTTCCAGAAAGGGGGCGGTACCGGGGGCGGAGAGTCCCCGAGGTGGGTATAAAAGACGGACCTCAGGACGGCTCGAGGCAGTGCTCTGAAGACGAAGACTGAAGACCAGCGAGGCTAGGACCCCCGGGACCCGACGTCCTTTTAAGGGCCGGGGCCGGGCACGGGCCAGTGGTCGAGACCCGCACCTTGGCTCGGTCGGGTTAGTTTAGCCTCCCCTAGGCCACCCTTAGCCGGAGGACTCAGAGCCCGTAGCCCCAGTGATAGGGCACGTCAGTCCGGAGGCCATACCTCCACAGGTAGTGGGAGTAAAGGGGGTTTCTGTTATAAGATTCAAATAAACCGTGTTGCCTCTAAAGCTACGTCTCCGGTCTCCGTGGGAACCCACTCCACTTGCAAACGACGAATTCTATAACACACAGCAGCAGCAGCGACGAACGTTCCACGCGTCATTTCTCTTTATACCACTGTCGAAAGCGATGCGTTATATTTTCCCGGTGGAATAGGTGCTCGCAAAAATAAAACATGCGTGCCACCCTTCGTGGACAACATTAAAAACAGGGGCGGAGCCAGGATTTCAGGCCGGGGTGACATTCAACAAATGTTAATTTCAAGAATGATTAGAGAGTCAGGCTGTTGAACTAGACGCCATCGGTTGGCGACACACTCTGACAATGCAGTTGCACGGAGTCCGCCAGACCGAGTGTCGTACACTTATACGCAGAATGTCGCCCCTGTCACCCCCCCTGGCTCCGCCCCTGATTCAAATTGACCTCGTTTGTGAATAAGCAACCCACCCCGTCTCCGGCTCCCCCCCCGCACTCTCCCTGGCGTTGAGCTCCATCTGCCGTCCGTGTGTGCGTGGTGTAGCGAGCCACGAGGCTCCGAAGAGGAGCGAGGGCTCACGCTACCACCGCTGTTAGGGAGGCTGCAACTGGCTCGGGGGGAATGGTTAGCGCGCCCACAAGGGGTTCGGGCCAACCTTGCTTCTCCGCAGCAGCGCGCGGCTCTTTAGGGACTGTTTCGTGACTTTTTTTTTACGAAGGACCACCACCGTCTCCTATTCACGTCGCATTGCGGGTTCTTGGAAATATTGAGGGGTTTTTTTCTTCAGAATTCGACAAAAATTGCTCCTCTTGGTACTTTCGTTGTCGACCCCAGGGTTAACGCAACTGCACTTGCGATCCAGACGTCCGCCGGTTCAATTCCATCTTGCGGCTGCGGCAGATCAGAATTAGAATCTTTATTTAGACTCCAGGAGGAATCCGATGAGCCATGAAGCTCTTTATCACAGTTGTCCAGCATGGGCGGGTCATCAAGTTACAACAGCAAACAATATGCAGCAACAGCGCACATGTCTCGCCTCTGCCCATCCAGCAGTAGAAATGGGTGCACCACAGTCGATGGGAAGGTCGCGCGTGGTGGGGTGAAAGTGTGGGTATGGCCATTTCTTCCCAATACCCTATGGAGTGAAGGCCTTATGGGTGCAACATTGGCAAGATGTTAACTACCTCGCCTGGTATACAGGAGGTTGTGGGTTCGATCCAGACCCTGACGCCTGCTGTATATTGGGAGGTTGCACGTCTCTCTCCCCGTGGTCGTGCGGATTTTTCTCCGTATCCTTCGGTTATTTTCCCCCTCCACATGTAGAATAAACACGCGTTTCGAGTATTTGGCTGCTACACATTTCCACACGATAAGCCACTTCGTTGAGCTATCATGTGTGGCCAGGCCGCTGCTGAAAAAGAGCTACATAGCTCAGTGTGCCTTACCTGGTACAATACAAAAAAATATCGCTTTTTTATAGTTTAGTTCTGCCAGCAGCGAAGTGAACAAGCAAGGGCCACACCTTTACCGTTTGACGATGCTACCTGAGACGAACCAACCGCTTTTGATAAGTAAATGGCAAAAGAGGAGCAATGTTAAAATTACTTCTTCGGAGGCAAAGGAAGTGCGAGATTGCTCCTAATTTGTTACCAAACGCTGACACCTGTGCAGCAGTAGCATAGGAAAGTTTCAGCACGGGCCAGGGGTCAGATGAAGGGCAGCACTGTGAGGGGGGTCCTGGACCCCCCCCCCCCACCCCTCCTCATCGCACCAATCGGACCAAACCGATTGCTGAGAAAAAAGCACCCACTGCGTGGACAGCGTTCCCGATGTACAAAAACGAATTTGTTATTGCGCGCGGACACAGTAGAGTGCGCGCTCGCGTTTAGCGAGCGCGACCGCTTGGCGCGTGAGTTTCTCCGAAAGAAACGTGGCTCTCATCCGCCACTCCGCCTTCTGTCCCTCGCTCAGGCTACTTTCCATCTCCTCGGCATTGCGCTAAGACGCCACTCTTGAACGCTTCCTCTCATCGTTCGGGGAGGGGGTCGCCTGCGACCCGTTCGAGTCAACGTCAACAACAACAACAGAACTCAACATCGGCCACGGTTATTCCACCGTTGGAGGAAGTCCCCTTCACACCGTCGACATCACGCGATGCCCTGAGATGGCGGAATCTCTCTCACGCAAAAGGATTCGCCATTATACAACAATTGCGATGCCAATCGAGACTTGAAGCTTTCGTGACTGCAGGAATTCATATTCTCTGGGTCTTTCGGTAAATACTCTTTGGTTCTATTGGGTAAAGTCACGTAGGTAAAAAATAAAATAACAAAAATCACGACGTTTCGGCCACAACACAAGCGGCTTTCATCAGGTGAAGGGACGAGACTGTCTGGAGGACAGCGTCCCTTCACCTGATGAAGGCTGCTTGTGTTGTGGCCGAAACGTCGTG